TGAAGTCTTTCTCCCGGGACAGTTATAAATAGTGTCATGACACGCAAAGGAGAAGCATATATAAAAGTTAGCTGTCCCTTCTGTGGGTTACAAACGTTTGACTCATTTGCAGACGGTCCACCAAGGCTATAAATAGAGTCGCCACCACCCTGGGTGGGAGAAGGGACTCGTTTTCACACTCCCAGAGCCTCCCTTGCCCTCCTTGGGCCAAGACACTCAGTGTGACCTGTGATGGTAAAACATATGCTTGGGGCCTTGGTGGCTGGCTCTCAGGCTCCTGCTGTAGCCAATCGCCCATAAAGAGTCCCTTGCCTTCTGCAACCCTGTCCTGCAGGGAGGCTTGACGGAGCGGGGGCTGACCCAGTCCTACTTCCCCAGCACGCCTGAAACCACAGACGAGCGTGCCCCAAGGCATCCGCTCCCAAACAGCAAGACATCCCCCCATAGCGGCCCCTGGGTCTGGCAGGAGGTGCAGACCATTAGCCCAGCAGAGCCCCAGGGGCTGCTCTGCCCCTCTGCAGTCAAGACCGCCATGATCGGGGTCGGGGAGGGGAGCAGGGGAACAGAAGAGCTGGGACCCGTGATCCCACTCAACCATCCAGGCTGGAGGCTAGGGGTAGACTTCTGTGGGGTCAGCAAAGAGATACAAGTTTGCCCTGAGGGACCCCATTCTCTTTAAAGAGTGACTGGCCAGGGAACGGAGCTCCCCTGGGCACACAGAGAAGCCTGCCCTTTCTGGGGCGGCCTCCCACGAGGTGGCCTGAAGAAGGAAGAATAACTAGAAATGAGAAAGGAAGCCACACGTGGGAGGGGACAGGGCGTCCTGGGGAAGCACCAGCATACCCACTCCTGTGCCTGTGGCCTGGGTGACCCAGCAACATGGCCAGCACGGGGAGGGGGAGGAACGGAGGGGCAGGAAGTTGGTGGGGAGGGCAGGAACGGGGCACGAGGCGGGCAGAGGACTGGCTCTGCCTGGGAGATGAAACTCAGACGGATTCTGAGACCGGGGGTGGGGAAGTGGTTTGAGGTTGTGCAAAATTGGTGGAAACAGAGAGCCATCCTGCTGCCCCAGCATTTCCCAGCCTCCCCTGGGCTGACCCCACAGCCCGATGCCCGAGGTCCCTGGGAAACCAGGCCCACCCATGACTTGCCAGCTAGACGGAGGCCCCAGCTCAGCCACCAGCGGGATGGCCAGGTTGGGTGGGGGCATCCACAGCAAGGGGAGGAGAAGCTGGCCACATCCCCAACTCTCTCTGGACCCGGTGGAGAGGTCACAGAAGGCCATGTAAGACAACGAAGTAGGAGTGCCTCAAACCAGCTCCGGAAGGAAATAAAGAACGCCAAGGAGGACTCCCCAAATCCTCATTCCCTCATCCTGACTGACACTAATGTGGCAGGGACAATGTCACAAAGATTTCTCAACAGGCTCTCCAGACCTGGCCCTATCATGGTGGCTAAGCCCTCAAGGTAAATTCACTCACGAAGAAAACACCTGGATCCTCATTCAGCGCTGAGGTAGCTCGCTAGGAGCCGCGGCCTTGGGCGCGATCACGAACAGCTCTCCTGTTACCTAAGTCCCACCTTAACCCATTTTCCTCCCCTATCATCACCTGTGGCTTGGGAGAGGGGAGTGAGGACCATTCCATCCTGATCTCTCACATCCTCAGACTGGCTTACTTTTGCATTAACTCTGTGCTCGCGGGACATGCCACGTTCCTTCTCAAGAGACCCAGGCCGGCAGGATGAATTCCTCCCCCGAGGACAGATATCAGCCAACGACAGACAAACAGGAAGGCCACAGCCCCGTGGAAAAGAACAGAGAACTTCAATAAGCAGCAGTTCGGGCACAAGGTTGGCAGTCTTCAATCACTTGGAGAAAAGAAATTGTGACCCTTTCCCCAGGGCCTTTGAGTGGGAGCTGCCACCATCGGTGCAGAATTAACCAACCTGGGTGCGGCGCCTGAGGCCACCCTGTGCATCCTCCTGCCTCCAGACTGATCACCAAAGCCAAACAGATACCCAGAGTTCTCCAGCCAACAGACTGTCACCCATCCTTCCCTGGGGTCCACTAAACGTCTCTGAGTTCCCCAAGCCGGTGATTCTTCATTCTGACCTAAACCCGTCCGTCGCAACAGTGTCCCGTTTTCTCTACGAGACTGGGGAACAGGTGTTCACTTCCCTTACAGCAGACCCACGTTTAGAGGTACCTTCCCGTCAGAAGGCCCAGCCCCTTCTCAGAACTTCTCCATTGCAAGATACAACTTCTCACTCCATTGACAAGTCTTAGTACCCAAGCTTTCCAGGCCCCAACTAATTCTGGAGCCAGAGCTGGATGACAGAGGAAAAAGATATCTCTTTTCACCCCCTCATTGTCATTATTGGTAACCATAACAATAGGTCCTGTAAGGAGTGCCTTACACTTATCCACTTCATTCTCCCCGCTTGGCAGCTGGGGAGACAGGCTCACAGAAGCTACATGGCTTGTCCAAGATCACACGCTGGAGGTGGCAGAATCAAACTTCAGTCTGATTCTTTAAAACAATCCTATTCACCTCCAGGAAAGGAGAAGGGATAGCTGCCTGACCCCCTCCTGGGTCCACAGGGCCTGACACAGGAGACACGCCCAGAAAATACTTGTTCCATAATGACTCAATGCCCTGATGGGTAGATGACACAGGGCTGAGGAGCGAGTGAGCAGGTTAAAATGAGCCCTGCTTATCACAACCAATATTGAGCCCAGGGTGAACAGAAAGTGGCCATCTTGCTAGCTGAGGCAAGCAGGACTTTCCCAGTTGCTGCCCACTCCAGGCTTCCATCAGCCCAAGGTCAGCAACTGAAAAATTAGGTGAAGCCCAGTCCCTTGGATCACCTCCCCCTCCCTTCACACCAGAGTCTGCCCTCTCCGGCTCTGGGAAAGCCCCTTTCCCTGAATACTCCATCAGAGAGGCACCTGCTCCAGGCCCTTTCCTGCCCAGCAGCAACCTCCCACCGCATCATGACAAACGTGCACAGACCGATCCCACGCTGGGAGCTGTCTCTAGGAAGAGCCATTCCCTTAAGAGCTCCGACCACAGGCTTCCCTGAAAGAGAAGGCGCTGGTCTTGCCCCTTCTCCCCACCCCTCCAGCACTTGGGCCTTCATCAGTTTCCCCCAGCAAGGGCTCCAGGTCCCCAGCGGGGTGCTTGGAGGGAGCTGGGGTTGTGCCCAGGGCAACTACCAGGCCTGCCAAGAGGCTGGCAGCCCCCTCTCCCGGAGAGCCCAGCGGGAGGAGGCAGCAAGCAGAAGGACCGCAGATTCAGAGGCTCATTACAGGAATGACTAAGTGAGCTGTGATTCCAGGGGAAACCCCGCTCGCTCCGGCTCACTGAGGGGTTCAATCTTTGAGCTATTTAGACGAAAGCGGCTTCCAGGAGCTGCCCTGGGCTGGGGCAGCCCCCTCCGAACAGCCAGGTCCCTGGGGGACCCTCCACCTGGAAGTCTCCATTCTGTCTATTCAGGTCGTCTGACGGGTCTGCCCCACCCCTTTCCAGAGCAGGCAAATCTGCCCAGCCCCTGTTCAAGTGAGAGGCTGGGAATGGGGGAAATCCGATCAGCACCTCCCAGGTTTTTGCGGCTGGATTTCAGCAAGGAATGTGACAGTCTCGCAGCAGCTGTGCCCAGCCTGAAACAAGCTCTATTTGAAACCTCCAACAGCTGAACCCCTCCCAGCTACCCGCCGGCCAGCCCAGCCATCCCCTGCCCAAAATGACAAATAAGTAGAGAAATCCAAGCAACAAGCACGTATGCACACACACACACTCTCTCTCGTGCGCGCACACGCGCACACACACACCAACAAATTGGGAGTGAAGGGTAGAGTGGGAAAAAATCCACTTGCCCAATGACTCCCCAGGTCTCCAAGCCTTCACCTCGCAGTAGGAGGGCTCCCAGCCAGCAGAACATTGACGGAAACCCACCTTCTTCAATTCCCACTCCCTTGGGGTACGCGATTTCCAAGCCCCCTCGGGGAGGGAAACCCCCTCCTCCGTCTTGGGACTGAAATGAGAGACTGAGCAGCGGGGCCAGCTCCCCCGCACTAAAGCCGGTGCCGCCGATCTCCATCGGGGCGCGCACTCACACACTGGCGCACACACTCATCCTTATTTATCCCAAGAAGAAGGAGTTGGGGTGGGAGGGGAGAACTGGGGCTGAGCCGGGGGCGCGGGCTCTCGGGGACGCCTGGGAAGCCCTGTCATCCCATCCGAAGGAGAGGCGCTCCCCACTGGCTGATGCCAAGGCGGTGCCCATCTGCTCTGCCCTGGTAACACCTGTAGCCATTTTTATCAGGGGATGTTTACGAGGCAGCAGCACGTTTATTCTGAGTCCTCTTTCCTGAGGGAAAGGACTGCTGATTTCCTCCACCTACATTTTTACCCCATGCCCCCAGGTGATGCAAGTCACGGGTGCTTTTCTATTTTGCCCTAAGTCTCTCAGGGATGGGAGGAAAACAGAAACTTGGGAAGAAGGGGAGAAGACAGAGAGAGAGAAGGGACTGGCATGGAATCCCCACCCCCTACCCAGACATTTATTTCTTTTTTATCCTCGGGAAAATGGAGTGGAGCAGGGAGGGAGGAGAGGAGGGGAAGTCACAGGAACTGGCAAGCACATCAAGGCAGAGTGTAATTAATTGGTGCGTTAAGCTGCTGGGTTATGCTTTAGTACGAGTGAGCCAGGAGGAAAGATGATTTCTCAGAAGGGATTCTTTAATCCTCCCTAACACAGAGACTGCAAATTAGACACAGTGTGTGGGGATGTCCTCCCCCCAAAAAAGTGAGGAATGAATTCTCCCGGGATTAAGCAGGAAAACCATGGGAAGTTAGAGTGTTCAATATAATTGAGCAGACGCCTCTCCCCACCACCACCATCTCTCACTCTCCCCCAATCTCTCTCTCTCAATCTCTCTCTCTTGCTACCTACATATTCCTTTTGTTCAAGGTATAAAGAGAAACTGCAGCCCCTACCTTTGAGTACAAACCCCAAGAGAGCTCGGTCTCTATCACCATAACAACAATTCCAAACATCCCAAAAATCAGAGCATAGTCACTCAGTCGCTTCCTCTTTTCAAACAGGGCCCTCCTGTGTCCCAGCTTATAGCCAATGTTTTGGTTTTTCCGCTTGTTGGCTTTGGGAAAGGTGGTGCTGCTGGCGGTGGTGCCGGCGTGCTGGTGGTTGTGGGTGGCATTGGGGTGATGGAGCAGGGTCTGGTGGGCATGGTTGTCCTCCCGGGAGGAGATGATGATCTCCGGGGGGTTGCTGGGGCTGAAGAGCTGGAGGGGCTGGCCCTCAGGCTCAGCCTCGATGAGGTTCCTCCGGGAGGCGCTGAGGCGGCTGAGGGGCTTCATGACCCCACCGCTGTACTTGCAAGAGCTCATGGCAATCTCCGTGAAGGGGTTGCTGTCCCGCCGGTGCACCAGGGGGCTGGCCTGCCGGTGCCGGCCACCTCCACCGGGCCCACTTGTGGCTGTGGAACTTGGAGAATGGCCAAGCAAGTGGTCATTGAGATTGAGCTGGCTGCCTTGCCTGGAGGAAGGGTGGAGGATGGCGGTGGAGTTGGACGAAGGGGGAGCCCTGAAAGCAGTGGGAGAGGAGTGCAGCAGGCCGGGATGGACGGGCTGGCTCTGGAGTTGGGCGAGCTGAGACAGGGGATGCGGGGACTGCTGCTGCTGCGGCTGGAGCTGCGGTGGCTGAGGCTGCAACGAGGGTCCCGGGGGCTGCTGGGGGGCTGCTGGTGGCGCTGGCGGTGGTGGTGGCGGCGGCGGCTGCTGCTGCTGCTGCTCATCCCCGGAGGATGGACAGGGACACTTGGGGTCTTCATCCAGGTCTCCCACCCCAGAGTCATGGAAGTGCCCAGAAGTGTCCATCTTGGGGCCTGGCTGGATTCCCTGCAGCAAAACCCCCCACCCCAAAGCCACCCTCGCTCCAAAGATGTCCTCAAAGAAAGCCAGGCATCCGAGCTCCCCCACCAGAGTGTCTTGGCTCCAGTCCTCTCTCTTTGGCTTGCTTCGCTTCTCTGGGGCTGCCTGGAGTCCAGACGCTGCCACTCAAGAATGCATTGTACTGGGCAGGGAGGGAGGGCAGGAGGGGAGCTTGAAGAAAGAAGAAGGGGGAAAAAGAACTCTGTCTCAGGAGGTGGTCCTCTAGGAGCGTGTGAGGCCAGGCTCAGCTTCACTCCTCGCTGGCTCAATAGCTTTGCTCTCCTCCTCCTGCCACTGTTATAGGGTAAGCCAAGCCCACTTATTAGCAGCTGGTCTCATTGGCTTGGCTTAACTCTCCAACCACCTCCTAACTCCGCCCCCCGCACAGACTCCTCCCCGGAGGAGGGGCCTGCCTCGCTCAGCTCCCAGCCCCAGCCGCCGCGCAGCGAGGGCTGGGAACTGTAGTTTCCGCTCCCCACCGTGGAGGCTGAGCAGCTGCCCTCCTTCCTCTGACAGGTATGGCAGAAACCCGTGAGCCCACGGCGGTACGGGATGTTTGCGCACGCGGGGCGGAGGGGAGGAGGAGCGGAGGTCCTGCTAAGGAGGAGCGCTGAGCACCTTGATGCGGGGGCGAGAAGCAGGAAGACAGTCATTAACGGTCAGGGTCTACGATAGGTTGTTTCACACATATTATCCATCTGGTTACATCCTCCAATCATCCAAAGAGGTAGGCATCGTTCCCATTTAACAAATTGATGCTCAGAGATATTGAGTAACAACTTCAAGGTCACAGAAGCAGAGGGGATGCACATCCTCCTGACCCCAGGTTGATAAGCTCACCTACTGAACTGCCTGAAATATGTGTGCAGGAGCATCTGTTATTTCTAAGCCTCACACCAACCCTATGAAAATGATGTCATCATTCTCCTTTTACAGATGAAAACCTTTTTTTTTTTAAATCACTCAAGTGCAGATAACTGGCCAGATGTCACCCCGTTTGTAATTAAGGGATCTAGAATTTGAACACATGTCAGGCTGACCCTACAGCTCCTACACCATCGCCCAGGATGCCTTTCCACTATGATGCTCAGCACAAAGTAGTTGCTTCATCAATGTTGCTCAAATGATGGGTGGGAAAGAGCCGAAGTGAAGCTATGGAGAAAGCACTGGCCTCCCCAAAGCAGAATGTGTGAGGTGGACCATGGCTCCAGCTGGACTTGGAGTCACAGGAGGGTCTGGCAGGAAGACTGAAGACCCCCATGGTTGCTCCCCACCTGATCTGTCCTTTGGAGCCCTGAGAGTCAGAGCTGGGAACAGCTGTTGGCCTCCCAGGTTCAGAACCATCATCAAGTATTTATTCAGCTCCCACTGTGTGCAAAGGGAGTTCCAAAGAGATGAGACCCCAGCTGAATTCATTTCCATCTCTAACTGCAGCAGACTTAGGGATCAGTGAGGAAGGGGCCCTTGTGGGATTCCCTAGGCACACCTGGGGTTTTAGGAGGGAGGTGTCTTCCCGCCTGGCTGTTGCTTCTCCCATCACCGCTTGGCCTCTGTCCAGCTGCTTTCCTGGTAGGAAGAGGGAAGAGTAGGACACACACACACACACACACACACACACACACAGAGTGAGATTACTAAAGCAGTT